GGGAAAGGGGCTGTTGGCCCGGGGCTGGGGAAGGAGGTGTAAGGCTGAGCTCGTAAGTGCAGGTTGTCCACAGCCCAGGAAGGAGGGGTGCCAGCAAACCCTCGTTATCAGGAAGATGAGTTTGGGGAAAGAAACAAAGACTCAGGAAGCAAGAGGAACTGCCACAGGTTTCTGTTCCCCTTCCACACCATAAATACCTTATCTAAGATGGCGGAGCACCCACCTCCCCACTGGCCCCGGCAGGACAGATCAAGGGAGGAGGAGCTGCCGGCCTGCCCCGAGTCCCAGTCAGGACTCACAGGGGGGACACGAGGAGAGTGTCCTGCTCCGTCCAAGCTTCGGAAGCTCCTTACAGAGCAAGTAATGAAGCAACCAGCAGGGAGAGCAGGAAGCCCGGGGTCATTTGAGACCCTGTCTCCCTGGCCATGTGACGGCTGAAGCTGAAGCCAAGCACAAGAAAAGGACAAATCTGGGCTCTGCCCCAGCCGGTGCGGATCAAGGCATTCCATAAACGGTTGCTAGTGAGGTTGGGTGCAAACATAACACAATGCCTTCCCCCACAGGCGTAAAAGCTGCAAGTCCACAGATCCAGACGTGCGAGAGAGAACAGTGTTTGTGGGAAACGGACAGAGCCAGGAGCAAGATGCGGAGCTGCCCTTCCCCCAAAGCGGGATGGAAGGCAGGAGCCCAACCGTCCAGTCCAGAGCTCCACAGACCAGCCTGTGCCCGTGGCTGCTTTTCGAGGTCCCACCACAGGCAGGCACGCTGTCATGCCTTGGAGGGACCCAGGGGACCAGCTCCCCCCTTTCCACAGCATACGTTGACCGTGCTGTCAAGGGGAGATGTTGGGGCAATGGCATGGGACTCTCTCAGGTCCTGCTTGGCAACATTAGGGGCACTACTCCTCTCTCGGGAGGAAAATGACTCAGTTACAGCCCGTCCCCTGCCGAAGGGGGCCCACATCCCAGCGTGGGCCACGCGGCTCGCTCCCGTCCTGCGCAGCCCAGCTGAGCCGCGCCGCCTCCAGCACTCACCGGAAGGGTAGATGGTGTCCAGCGTCACCTTCCTGGCGCGGATGAATCTGCCCACCTGCTCCAGGTCCCCCTGCCTGATGTGGTCCTGAAAGACGACGTCATTGGGGAAGTGCACAGTGCGTGAGGCTCTCAGTCTCCTGGCATACCGACTGTAGCGGCGCATCGAGGCTGGGTAATAGTCCTTCATGCTGATCCCGGCCTTCAGACGCTGCAGAGGAAGAGGAGGAGCAGAGGCCTGGGGGGCTGCAGGCGCAGCTGGAGTTGCTCAGCGCGTGGCCCTGCCACTCGCTGGCCTCGCAGCACTGCTTCCTCCTTGTCCGCCTGTCAGGTCCCTCCTCACTGCGGAGGTGTGCTGGCACCCACACCGCTGCTCTCCGCTGTGCCCCGTCCCCGGTGGGTGCCAGTCCTGCTCAGGGGCGGGGAGGCGGCGGCCGGGCTCTCCCTACACGCCCATGGCGCACGCAGGGGGCACACGCAGCTCACCCACAGGGCCTCGGCCCAGGACTGGTGCTTCTCCAGGGGCGTCACGTTATATAGGCTCCCGCGGGCTATTTTGAGGACATGCAGCTCATGCTATTTGCCATGATACTTCGTAATCGAGCCGCCCAGGCCCGCAGCCTCCCACTTTTGGGCAGAAGTTGGTGTCTCATCTTACCACCCACCTGTTGATGTGCCCATGCAAAGGGTCAAATCTACTCTTGCTTTTGCATGGGTAGCCCTTCAGAGGAGCCCAAGGGCCTGAAAACAGAACTTCCCAGCATCGAGCCCTCACACATGCACGCACACACACGTGCCAGGGAAAAGACAGGAGCTCGGCCACCAAGCAAGGGGAAGCAGCCGCTGATGTTGCAGCCAGCCAGCGCAGACGTGTGGGAGCCACGGTGCCAAATACATTCAGAGCGAAGTCACTTTCCTGTAGTTGCATCAGACAACTTGTGAGGAGTGGAGCGAGCTGTGCTGCCCAGCACGGCTGCGAGGCAGCGCCCGGAGCACACCACAGCGTGTTGGTGTCACCCCGGCCCTGCGGGGACAGAGGGGCTGCGGGTGCTCCCGGGGCAGAACCAGGAGCCTCGGTGCCAGTCCCTGGTGTCCAACATCAGGGCGGGCTTCTACGGAACAGCCTCAGAAGAGCTGAGGAACAGCACCACCACCAGACAATTCCTGCATTTGTTACTCTCCAGCTGTAGCTGTCAGAGGCTCAGAAGAGACCATCCACCACAGAGGGATCTTCCAGATCCGTCAAGGGTTCAAGCAACAGTTTTGCTCCCTGTGCTTTTCCCCAAAGGTGGGTCATTTCAGATATATGAGCATACTGTGTCCTGGCTTGTGCTGACGGGGACTATCCAGGCAGGTGTGTCAGGGAGAACCCCTGCCCCGCATCAGGGCTCACAGGGATTTCATCCTGCCCTGAGTCCCTGCCCGCAGCGGGGCTGGGAGCTCCATCAGCCACACCCAAGCGCTGCCTGCACTTGTTTATCTGCTGCAGATGCATTGATCTTTCTGCCGAGCATCAGAACACCCCGCACTAGGAGGCTGAGCTATCTGCTGTGGAGACAGGCCGTTTTTAGCCTGCTTTCGTGGAACAGCAATTAGGTGTGTACACAGGATGAGTGATGGAGTCCTGCTCTGCCAGGAGGAGCCTTGGTGCAGGGGAACAGCTGCCCTCCTGCGCTGAGCAGGACCACTGCAGAGCTCAGCCTTGTTTACACCTCAGCTGGCTCCACCAAATGGACCTTTCTGAGCTGAGTCCTTGCCAGCACCTCACAGTGGAACTTCTTACTAGCAGTGCTTTCTTCCTCCCCACCCCAAAACAGCAGCAGCTACCCCTAGCCAGCCCCGACAGCAGCCACTGGGGAGCAGCAGTGGCCACTGGGCCACACCATAATCGAGTTGCCTCCAGACAAGGGGTCACAGCGCTGGGGGGAGGGTGTTTCAGAGATCCTTCTCCACATAACCCAGGTAAGTCAGACACCACACAGCTGTGCACTAGTGCCTGTTCTCCTGGGGAACACACTGTGCCAAGCCCACGGTCAGCAACTGCCCACTCAGCCCCCACCCTGCTGAAGGGAAGGCAGCAGGGGGCTGGAGCTGCAGACCAGCCCCCTACCACACTCCTGCTCTTCACCCCAGTGCACCCCTGTTTAGTGACAGGCACCAGTAGCCTGCCGAGGTGCCCTCTAGTTTCATGCCCTCCCATGTGACATTTATAGCATATTTTCTTACAAAAATATTTTCAGCAGTAAGCAGACTGGTTTGGAAATAGCAGTGTAGCTCACTGGATCATGTGAGCCTGACTAGCAGAGCTAGAGGCAGCCCCAGGTTTCCCGTAGGCAAATTCCTTGGTTAACTGCTCAGGAGCAAGGAGGTCCCACCGCACCTCAAACCAGCTGGAAAACAAAAATGTGTGTTCTGAGCCCAAACCAAATGTCTGCTCACTAACAGAGCTGTTAGCCATGTCTGCCCAAACTGATTTAATCTGGACTTAGTCATCTTTGTAGTTCTTCTCCTTTGTAGATCATGCAGTCCAAATTTCTGCAGATTAAGATACCAGAAGGCACCTGCAAAACCAGAAGCATTGAGAAAGCATTTCTCTCAAAAACATGGTATTTGGTGAAAGCTTGAGCAAGCTGTTGGACACACACCATTTTGACAGAGCCCTGATCCTCTGTCAAGTCAGTTTCAGATATTCTCACCCTATATTCCAGTAAAGACAAAGCAACATAATAGTATTAAAATCTCAACTTTATTTGGCCAACAAATTCAGTTCCAATGTTATTGTAGCGGAATGCTAAGAACCAGCCTGATGCAGCTCAGGCCTTTGAGGCACTCCCCTGTTCAAGTTCCTCCCCAAAACCCAGTAATTGCAAATGTCCTGTTTGATCTATTTTGTCAGGCCCTCCCACACCACCCACCTGCCTGGTCAACCCACTCAAAATAATGCATGGAAAGTGATTGCAGAACAGTCTGGCATTTGATCAAAGAATGGCAACACAGCTCGGTCTTGTCTAAGCCGGTGAGCCAGCGACCACCTCCACCCTCAGAGCCCGCCACAGCCAGTGCACACAGTATTCCACCCTTCCAGGTGTTTGGAATAGTCATCTCCAAGTGTCTTAAAGCAGAGGGGAAAGGAAACATCTAGCCAGCATGAGGAGAAGCACCTTCATACACACCTTTCACCAGGATGGTGCCCTCAGCCTACTGCCTCTTCCCCTACAGATACTGGAGGCCAACTCCAGGGAATAACAGCTGAGACCATTAAGGACCCTGCCAGGTGCAGAAATCAACTATGGGCTTTAGTTTTAAAAGAAAAAAGGAAAAAAGCTTTCTTGGAAGATGTTAGTGGCAAGGCTCCAGAATGCTGGGCCATTGAACTCAAGCTACCGCCTCACAATTTGCTTCTAACCCAGAAGAATACTTCAAACAAAAGCTGTGTACAAAAAAAGTACATCACAATAAAAAAAATGAGCCCAGCTGGCTGGGCTGGCTACCTAGTGACAGATCCCTTCTGAAAAGTGAAAAGAAAGAAAAGATAGTCAGGTGTACAGACAAGTGAGGGTAAAGTATTACTTTAAAAGCCAATCCCTGGATTTCCAGTCATTCACCTTCTGCTTTAAATCTTAAAGGGTTTCTGACTCACTGGGCTGCGTAACAGCAGCCAATTTAGTGTCTGATTTTTTTTTTGGGGGGGGGGGTGTGTGTGTGATGTAGATCAGTCTTCTCTTTACAATTCATCCTTTTGGGCTTTCTGCTCATCATCATCATCACCCTCCTCAAGGTCTGTTTCTTCATCCGTCTCCAAGTCCTCCAGATCCTGTGCAGGTTAAAGACAGCTACTGGGTTTGGGCACATTAGGCAGATCCAAAACAAAGCACAGAACAGCATCTCTGTTCACTATTTGCTGCTGCCACGTTAACAGAACAGCCAGAAACTTCTACCAAGAGCTATGAGTTTGGGACATGAAGGGTCAGAAACCCCAGGAGCTGGTGCCTGCAGCACCCTTCCCCCGGGAGGCGAGGAGCTTCCAGCCAGGTGCAGCACCCACACGGCACCACCACGGCACAGGAGCTCTGGGTGCCCAGCAGCAGCTCTCAGTAAAGAACGAGCCCTCCAAGGACTGCAGCAGTTTGCACAACCAGAGACAGCTTGTGTAGAGCTAGAGGTTCTATCAGCCCTCCCTATGCATTGGTGTGTAAGCCTCCCAAAAACATTTACCTCACACCCAGCTGGAGTGTCCTCACTAAAAGGAGCCCACCACAGGCCAGTGGCCAGCCAGGCTGCAACAGGTCACATTTTATGATGTGGGCCCTCGGGTTCACCACCAGCATCCCTCCCTGCCACATAACCACCCAGGATCTTATTTAGGACTGAGGATTCCAGCACAGCACCAGATCCGACCCATGCTCCATGTTCTGAAGGCCCAGAGTACTGTGTGAATATTACTCACATCATCAGCTGCCGCCCCATCCTGACCTCCGCTCTCCAAGAACTTTTTGAAGCCTTCTAGTGTCCTCTCTCCATTATAGTCAATTACCTAGACAGGAAAAAACATCAAGACAATGGTTACAGGCACCCACAGAACCATGCCCCTGGAGAGGAGAGTTCTCTTTCTGAGCAACAGTTTGCATGCCAAGCAAAAGGGAATTTAAAAATTCACCTTCACCCACATGAGACGAAGGAAAACAGCTCAGCCACTAGACTTCAGAGATCACTGCGAGGAAAGAATAGCCTGCAGATGAGCACAGTCCTCTATGCTCCCTCCTTTCCCATTTCCCACTTCCCACCCCCACCAAATTCTTTCCTACAGCCCAGCCCCGCCAAGGGTTCGGGTGTCCTGCAGACCAGGTGCGTTCCATCCCTACAGAAGGGAGAGCCCCCCAAGGCTTGTCCAAAACTGAACTCAAGCAGGCAGCTGAGCCTGTCTGGTGCTCCCTCACTATTCCGTCTGCGTAAGGGTCAGCTGCCCTCTTACGTTTCTGCCAGAGCCTGCAGGGAAGAACTTGAGCGTGGGGAAGCTGTGGATTTTCACTGCCTCTACTTCATTGGCCGTCGAATCCATCTTGGCAATGACAACGTTCTCGTGGTCCCTGTAGGTCTCTCCCAGCTTGTCCCAGATCGGAGCCAGCTGCTTACAGTGACCGCACCAGGGGGCATCTGGTAGTGACGAAGACACAGCTGGCACCAGCCACCTAAGGAGCCACCACCACCCTCAGCCCACACGCATCTTCAGCCGAGGCCCCTCCTCTGCGGCCCAGGTTCTGTACAACGCTCTCTCCCTAACCCCAGCCAAGCAGCGTTCCAGCACACCCTTCGCACCAGTTACTGGGAGTCAGCTCTCAAAAAATACTTACAGAACTCTACAAAGACATTCTTATTCTCATCGAAAGCAACTTCTTCGAAGTTCTTCCCAACTAGAACTTTGACAGGCTGCTTGTCCCAGTCCTCAGGAAGATCTTGACTCATCAGGTGGGGCTGGAATAAGAAGTGAAATTCAGAGACAGTTTGCCACACAGCTGC